AGGGAAACAGGCGAGCCAAAACACGCTCTGGTGATCGCGGACAATAAAGCGATGCCCTTGCAGAACAGCTGAAGATCAGAACAAGTTGATACAAACGCACTGCATCTGTAAGGCTCCCCTTCCCCTCTCGTTTTGAAACCCAGGATGAAATTAGAACAATCACTTGCTGTCCTCCTCTTCCTCGCATCTTCATGCAAAACTCTGGCGCTTCTCCTTGCGTAATTTCTATCCAGTAAATTAAGTTGCAACCCTATTCCTCCCAGCTTTCTTTTCAGTTCACACATTTTCACTGAATAATTGCATGAGACAAGTCTTGCTTTGAGGTTTCATTACCAAAAAAACTACTAAATATCTGAAATGTAGGTTTATCTCACGTAACACAAGGCATAAGTTGAACTAATCGGAGAACAGAAATAGCAGAATTACGCTGTGAATTCAGACAGCAACATATTACAGAGTTTCTTTCAACAAGTGTTTTGCCCTATTTGCTTAAAAGGCACAATTTCAGGATTTCTACCAACAAACTCCCAAAAAGCAGACATTATTGTTACACCTGTGGACCTGGCCATTGCGAATACTCTGCAATGTGTACACGTATCCCTGCATAAGCACAGCACAACAGGTCACCACCTGCATAGAGGTTTTCAAGTGCAAAAGTCGAGGCAGAACTGCTGCTGGTACAGAAAGGCAATCCCACCAACGTCGGCGTGGGGACGCTGCAGGCTGTGCGGCTGACGCTGCTGTATGTGGCACACAGGACACCACCAAGCTGTCCACTGGCTTGGCCTGGGGAAACTGAGTAGCAGCCCTTTCCCTTTATAGTCTTTCTTACCTGTACATGTCGTTTCCTGCCTGCTTTAGCGCTGGGAAGGCAAAAAACCACAGAAAGTAGGAAAATGCAACAGGAACTGCTAAACTGTGCTTCGGAAATGAAGAACAAGAAAGGCAAAACTCAAGAAAATACAAAACTACGCTTCAATCCAGATTTCGGCTCCAGTCGAATCAAGAAATGACCCCCACCTCTTCCCCAGCGCAGCTTTTCAGCATTCAGAGCACAAACTCCCCGTACGCTGCCTGAAAAGCCCAGGCATAAAGTTTATCCTTGAATTTGAGGCTTTGTCATTTGATGGGGGGGAGGTAATCAGGACAAGGCGCTGGACCATGCTGCTCAAGACATGACAACAGACACACCAAAATTCCAAGCTGGCTGCATGAAGCAATTAAAGTAGTGTTTACTATTCCGTGACAGTTAACATGTTGGACTGACCTTTCATTTACTGTTTAGTACTGAACATTAAGCTGCAAAATTACTCATGCTTTGCATTTAGTACTGGCATCAAAACTAACAGCATTAGATAGCTATTCCCACGGCGAGACATGCGTTTCGCCTGCCCAGTTGTGCGTGTACTTTTATAAGCACTGTATTTAATATTTAACATCACTTCTGCAGGTTATATTCATCTGTTGCCGTTAGGAATCATTGGTAACACTGCTCCAAAATGTAAAAAGCATATGCAAAATGTCCAGTGTGATGCAGCTGGTAAAATTATGTCCTTTCTTTACATGCTGGGAGAGATAAAAAGGGAAGGCTGGTGTACGCCCGTAAGTCCCCGTGGCAGCTCCCAGCCAGATGGCACAAGTACAGAAGCTAGGGAGGAAAAGTTTCTTTGTTTCCTCTCCTTCTAGCTGCTCACAGCAGCCACGTTACAACGGGAGGCACAAGACACGCGTCACAAGAGCCTGGCAGCCCGGTGGTTGGGATATTCTCGCCGGAAAGGGCACCTTTCCCTGCAACATGCTTCGGCTGAAGGTGGGCAGGAAGGACCTGGAGTTTCCATTCCCCAGGGCCATGCTCTCAGGGAGAGGCTACAGATGAAAGGGAGAGGTAAACACTCTGGAAAAGCAGCTTTGCCAGTACGCTTTTGCCTGAATTTTGTGCTAGGAGCAGGTAAAACTATGGTTATTCCTACCCTTGGCTGTAATTTGCCTGGTCAGGCACTTGGCACGCCCAGGACTCTGCATTTTGACTGTAGAATTCAGGTTTTTGGGTCCCAGGTTGCCCCATCCAGCACAAACACGGGTCTTCTCCATTCGCCCTGAGTGCTCCTCCCAACTTGTGGAGCCGTCCTGCTGCGGGCACTGCATCTCTCCCAACCCCCCTTCACCTCTGCCCGGAGGCTTTTTCATCACACACTTCTAAACCTCTATTTGTTACGTCTTCTTTGCGACAGCGATAGGCACTGTGAATGGACTGTCAGTGAATACCAGAATAGCACACAGTTCATATGCAGACTGGAACATTAATAACCACAAATATCATATTATGGCATTACGCGCCGTCAGTGTTTTATTCATAGAGGCTATTTATATAAAATCTCTATTTTCTGTATCGCAACTGAAGTTATCTGGCTTATTTCCCCCCAGCTCAAATATTCCCACTGCAGATTCCAAAGGGCAAATTCTCAAAGGCTGCTCAGCATCCTAATTATGACAGAATCGCTGCCGGTTTGATCTTGCCTGCTTCTTTTTTTTAGTATTTCCAGACAGATGTTCTGTGCAACCAATATGCCAGCTCAATGGTCAAAATTATTACAAGATTGCTGATAGAAGGCAAGTTGGTGTATTTTAAAAATCAGTATAATATCTTAAAGAAAGAAGAAACCTTTCAAACAAGGTTGTAATTGTATTTAATGCACATTTTGCTTTTAATAGCAATTTCCCAGTTTAAACAGCATAAACCTTACAATGCTTAATTAGTGAAGAAGTTATACTGCTTATAAAGTTGTATCTAAAATATACCTTATTCATTCTCTATTGAACAACATTTTTAAGACACTCTAATGTCATAATTACACACTATACAGTAGCAGCATGTTCACACCACTACAGTTAAGGCCGTGTCAGCATTCTCATCATGAACCTTTTTCAGGGTTTGAACACATCAGCCATAACATTACAATGCAGTTTGGATACAAGATTCACATCTTGGATGTCGTATTTTTTCACTTTAGTAAAATAAGAATAAAAATAATAGAACACATATAATAAAGGACTCCACCCAAATTTATTTTGGATGATTGCTGCCTTTGCACAACATGCTCAAAATTTCCAAAACGAAATTTAAAAGAAGTTAGTGGACAGCACAGCCTGATCAGGTCTAGATGAATTTGAGTGCAAAGTGTTGTAAAGTGGGTGCCACAGATGTACAATAACCACTTCTCACACATTGCCCATTTTAACATACACAACGCTTCTTCTGTGTAAATATTTAGGCTGGCAGGTACAACAAGTTCCACCACCAAGTGAATAATAAAAACTACTCATCTCCAGTTGCATACACTTCCTGGTCACGATGAAAGTCAATTGTTTCACAAGTCAGCACACTGGCTGCTGAGGTACCATGTTAGGGTAAGAAACATCTGAATCTTCATGCCACTCATGCCCTGATAATTCAAGAGGGACTCATCACGCCGCCCACCAAGCTGAAGCCATTTGTTTAAGAAGGTGGACAAGGCCAAATACTGTACGGAAAGGGACCCAACTGCTTCTTCCGTGAAATGCCAGAGCTTGTCTAAGGAAATTCACCCCTACTTCATGCCTTAACAGCTTCCTGGCTTTATTAACAAAATGCTTCTTATTGCCATATGGTTCGATTAAAAGAAAATCTCTAGTCAGGGATCTACTTAAATATGTTCTACCTCTGCTTAAAGCAAAGCGCCTCTGTAAGCGCTCTCCTGAAACACTGCCCGATGAAAGTGTGCTCCATGGAACTGCGAGAAGCTGACGAAACTTCGTGCAGCTGCAGAACCACACTCTTTATACATCATTTGCTCATTTATTGTTTTTACACTTCTTCTTTTGTGACCAGCTCTTTCGTTACAATGCTTTTGGAAGCACTCCATTGCATACTTTTCAGACTTAGAGATAAGCATGCAAGACTGAAAAAGAGTTGCCTGTTTCAAGCTTTGTGTACAATGCACACACATGTTTATTAATAAAAACGTGTCTATACATCTATTTGTTCTTTGGACCAACTACAGCCTCCCTAGGTGACTGTAACATGTCTTACAAACCTTTCACGGAAGATTTAAGAAATATTACTTCAAGATAAAAAAAAGAAAACAAATACATTAAAACATCATCATCAACGAGACAGAAGGGGGAAAACAAAGCAGAGACATCCCATGCCAAATCCACTGCTGGCACAGGTTAGCAGTGTCATCTTGAAGTCTGCTTTCTGCCTTCTACAAGTTCTTTTATGTCATGGTCTTAAAAGGGAGCTGCAAAGCCATGAGGAAATTCCACGAATGCCCCCAGGCATGGGCCAGATGCTGAAATCCTTCTTCTTAAGAAGGGAACAGATTAGCACACAGCCTATTTCAGCTCTCTGTCCTATCAGACTTTCTGTGCACAGGCACCTGTAAAACAGGGGTAACAGTATTTCTCCACCTCAGAAATCTGCTGTGAGAACAAATGCATTTATGGTTGCCTGGACCACAGCCACAGCCATGAGGGCTACATCAGTACCTAAAATACAGCCTTGCCTCCTCCTGCCCATCCCCGCGAACACAGCAGGCAGTAGACAAGAACTATCAAGAGTAACATTGGTAATGGAGGGTTTTATGACACTATATGGTAGTGGCTGATTTAGTTCAGCAGAATTAAGTTTCACAATAAAAACCTCCCCAAGATTTTTTTTTTATAAGGGATCAACACAAGTCAGCTTAAGAGACTGTACAAGAATGACCTGAATTGTATCCCATTACTCAACACAACGTTTCAGAATCTGTCTACATCTGATGATGGTCCACATCAATTCATACACAAACGTATACCGGTTGTACCAGGGGAAAACAGCAAACAGTGTCCAGCCTCAGTTTCCATTTCTGTATTCTGTGATACTGGGCACGTACAACAGACAACTGAAATGATACCGCAATAACCCATACAATCCGTTTTAAGTCTCCTCGCCTGTGATGTAAGAAGAACGATCCTGTGTGTTAATAGGCAGCAGTTACTTATTGCATCAAGGCTCACCTGTAATCCATTAATTTCATAAAGATATTACGGGCTATCATCACAGAACGCGAACACCTTCATTCGTAAACTGGCATTCCCTGTCTTTCACTGAGCTATTAATAAATTCCTCAAAACTTTCAAGATAAAGTGAAGCAGAAGTTTCAGCTACAGAAAGGTAGTGCAAAGGTTCAGTTTGGCACTGCAACATTATGGACAGACAAGTATTCATGGTAAACTCAGTTTAGATTTGGAAGAATGCATCCTATAATTGAACCAATATTGTCAAATGTATTGCATACTATTGTAACTTCACAGTAATCAAAATCAGACATCAAGGTTTCTATAGAAGCAGCAATCACAGATTGCAGTAAAGTATACCACTCAAGGGAAAAAAAAATTGCATTTTGGCAATTTCATAGTCAAGTGTTCCTTATGCTCCTCAGACAGTCATGTCAGACATTTTCCTGTTTAAAAGGTGCACATTGTTTCTCCTCAGTCCTCGTGAGACTTCTCTGCAATGACTTTGCATTCATACTGCAAAACAGAAGTTGATAAAATTAGTAATATTCATTTACATAATGAAAAAGACTGCTATGCAGGGGATTCTTCTAGAAAAAGCTTAGCTTACACTTTAACCACGTAAATTTGGTGTCCCTAAGTTCTGTGTGCGCGCTGGCTGCAATTTCTGTCTCCTTGAGACTTAGGGGATGGTATGACTTCTCCCCAAACATGGGAGCTTACTTAGCTCCTGGTCCTGAAAGGGCTACGATAATGTGACTGAGAGTGTACAGAGCACAGTCACGGGCTGTGCTCTGAACAAAAGTACTAACAGTTTGCTAACGAGATCAAAAAGCAACGATTACTGATTTCTTCCTTCTCCACATCCAGAAGTCAAATACCTGGTTGGTATATATGCAGGAAGGAATGGCATGTAGATTAAAACTTTTATTAGAAGGCATTTGATACACCTACTCCCCCTCCCAACCTTACCATTGCCAGCTGCCTGCCGATATTGCCCATAGTTATTCCACCAGCAAAAAATATACATGGCAACCAGGAACGAACATAAAGGAAATCTGGAGATGTGTATCTGGAAAAGAACACACATTTTTGAGCTCAAAGTTATCTGACACACAGAGTCCTCTAATCAGGAGACAAATCCACAAATTTACATATTAGGACATTTCAATTTGAGAAGACCCATATTATATAATTACTTGCAGCATATAACAAAGAAGGCTTCTTATTGATTATAATCCCATTTGTTCAACTAAAAAATCAGCACATTACATTGTTGGTAAGGCAGCAATTTTATTGAAATAAGCAACTTCCGACTAAAAGTCTCACTTACAAACACTGAAAAGCTTTCATGAACAGTCCAATTTACTTTACACTCAAAATTAAGTGCTGCCAGCTTTGGAAATCACGTCAAATTCTACCCTTTTAGTTATTCCGATTTTATGTTATAGCTTCAGGACACTATCATTCAACCTTAAAGGAGTAAATACTTACTGATAAACTCCATTGTAGACCAGAAGTTGTGACACCAACGTGGCCAAGAAAGCAATTCCCACGCCAAGCCCAAAGCCACTTCGTGATCTGTCAAATGTCCACCACAGTCCAATTGACAGGGCTGCTAACGTAAGAGACAACTGAATATTGTTGGCAAAATCCACTTTCTGTGTTGACTGTTAAGGATAAGCTTGGAAATAATCACATACAAGTCTAAAGCAGTTTTCTTCATTCTGTTTGTCGTACTTGGGCACAACAGAAAAGAATACCTTAAAAAAAATACAGCACTAGCTGTATCAGCTATCACACAGCTATCGAGTATAAGGAAAAAAGCCTTTAAGTGTTGCCAACCTATCAGGAAACTAAAAAATTTATGACACTTCACATTTTTAGGGTCTTACAGTGGTACAGGAGTGAAGAGATATACACCTACCAGACAACTGAGGTGTTTCATACAGACATACAATGCACATGCTACTGTTCAGAATAAGAACATCTCATCCTTATCTGGTCCTTTATTACACTAAGCATGAAACCTTAAATCTAGCATTAGACTTCTCTGACAAGGATTTGCTGAAAAAAGGTATTTGTTAAACAAAATTGCAATTTTGTTTAAGTTACATGCTAATTTACATTCAGCTAAATATTAAAAATGTTAGTGTTTTCTATAACACAAAATGTGAATAATATCACTGTGAAAGTATTATTGTAAATCAACATTGAAAAACAGTTTTGTCAACTGTGATAAAAGTGTGAAGTCACTCCAGGTATCTTTGGAGTGTTTCACATTCTTCAAAATGTTCTGGAAATACTAACTCATCCTCACTAGTCCTGCCCAAAACAGATTATTAAAAAGCAGGCTGTCAAGTTTCGTAAGCCTGAAAGCAAGTTTATGGGATGACAACACAAAAACACTGCTCTGTGTTCTCACAAAGACCTGGAAAGAGACCTAAAGGAAATGAGAAAGAAGTTCAACTATCTGAAATAAACGATTACAGGATAAAAAGCAATAGCATCAGAAAAAATCTCAAACAAGACCAAAAACGACACCAAATATGGTAATGTGCAGAACTGGTAATAAGCTGAAAAGAAAGCGGTCTGGAGAGCTGTCAAGGAGGAAATACAGACATTCCATTAATGATGTTCTGGAATATGTGTAACTGCTGTTCAAGAACTGCAAGAAGGTTTGCTGTAAATAATCTGACCCGTGCAGAGAGAAGCTGTCAATTCTCTTGTATTTCTTCAAAGCAGCAAAGCTGCACGTACTTCTACAACAGGTGCAATCCAGGCCAGTGAGAACCACAGGATGAGGTTAATGCATCTCTGACAATGAGAGCACGGTTTGTGAGGGACAGCGGGAACGGCTCGGAACCTCGGCAGCTCCAGCCCATCCGCCCACACTGGATAGGATGGCTGGTGCGACCAAAACCGAAAAACAGTCCAACCCATCCGAGGGCCAAGCCACCTCTGTAAGAATTCAGCCAGCTCTCACATCTTTCACTGACCTTCCCCTCTTTCCTGGAAACAAGGAGATTCAGCAGCACGCAGTCAGAAATTCTTAGCATGGTTTCTGCAAACCGTGTTGGAGCTGACACTGAAGCAGATGAGAGCTCCGGAAATGATCAGCTTTCTATCCAAATAGTTTACAAGAACCCAGTTTTCACACACAGATCCTGGTTTTACCTGACAGGAGGCACTAGACACGACTACAGAAAACCACTGAGACTCACAGGGCTGCCAGTAAGGTGTGTCAGTCCATGTGAAAAACACCGTCACCCAGCATGTCGCCAGCTGCTTCAGAGGGAAGGGATGCCAGTTCCGAGCACACTTGTGCCAGCATGTATATGATTAGCTGCACAACCAGGAGGAGCATAACGTACTGCAACATGCCGACTGACTTCTAATTGCTCTTCCTGAATGACCACAGGAATGGTAACTACTCATTCAGTATCAAGGCATCATTCGTAGAATGCCTAACTGCCTTGTAAAATGCTTTGCGTAGCCCTGGGTATTACCTGGTCCTGAGTTTTCCCCATTCTCTGCAAGGTGCATGTGCTTCACTGATGACCTCATCACTGGGCTTCAACCTCTTACTACAGTGTTAAAAGGACATCAACCCTTGAAATGTCTTAAAGCACTTTTCTGTAATACCTACCACACAAATATTTCCCCACACTTACTTTAATTCTTCAAAGACAATAAAGACTAAGTAAGACAAAGCCCAATATTGAGACGTTTCTAATGCAATGATTTTTCAGAACAAAAAGATGTAAGACTTGTCACCTCCCATACCGCTATGACAGTTCAACAGTAATACATATTCTGCGTTTCCCCTGCAAAAATTCTGCACATTACATCTTTAACAACAATTCACCATGACTATGTGAGCTTTGTTTTAGTGGAAACCCATTTGTTATCACCCATTTCATTAGAATATAGGATACAGCGCTGGCATGATTTATTCCCACAAAGACTGCTACACATCGCATTACACTGGACCATTCTCTCTTAAATTTATGTGGCTCTCCCAGATGTCTGTCCATGCATGGGTACAATAACCCAATCACAGCTGTGGAGACAGGAAAGAAAAAAGGCCCAGAAGTTAAAGCACTGGCAATATTTCACTAAAATACAGACTACCTGGACTTTGACAATCAGTGTGACAACCAAAACAGATCTTTTAAGGATAAACAGTACAAAACATACATTGTAAAAGAAGAGGAATTTCAGACAATTTCATTATTTAAAAAAGCCCTGTAAAACTTCAGCAGCATCTTCAACCACTGCAGCAGTGACCTGGCAGAGGTAGCAAAACAGAGCCAATTTGAACTAAGGGCAGAGGACGAGAGTTCTGCACCCTACTGATACCTGCGGGCTCACATTGTAGTTCAAAAGGTGCAGAAATGGCTTGCAGGCTGGCACTTCTCAAAATTCCACATATCAGACATACATGTTTAAATAACTGCAAAACAAACACACCAGGGTAAGGGCAGAGTGTGGTTTGTAACATCAGTATTTTGTGCCTGCTTTTGTTGTTGTTACAAGCAGGTTTTGTTTGGATAATTCTTTTGTCTTCTTCAATGCTACTATAAAGGCCCGCACAGAAAAGGGAAAGCCAAGAGCCTATGGAAACTGTTGAACATAGAAAGCAAACAGGACTTTCAACACCAGGGAACTGCTATTCTCTCTGAACATTTCTTCACAAACGTGTTCCCTACTACAGTGGCAGCCAAAAAGACTGTTACCACCACCGCTGAGGAATAACGCTGGTGCTTGATGTTAAACTGGTGCTGCAGGAGAGGGACAGAGCCTGAGTCATCGGTACAGACTCCAGTGCCCTTGGTCTGGCGTGCTGTCGGAGGTATGTCATGGCAAATGCTCTTAATTCTGCCAGAGAGGAAGCTGATCTCCAGGATTCGGGAAAATACATCACCAGTAATGCTGGAGAGGAAAAAAAACTCCCTGAGCAATTAATTTTCTTGCCAAAGGCATTGGGCCAAACTGATGACTAATAACAGCGACGGATGAACGGACTTCTCTGAAAGCAGCCTTGATCACCACTGATTATAAATACACAAAAATACCTTGATTCTGTTCGTAACAATAAACCATACTGCAGAGAAATGTTCATGTCAATTCCAGGAAGGCTGTGGAAGTACAAATGGTAAGAAAATGGGTGAATTACCAGCATTTACCACAGAAATTCCATGTATGTACACTAGCAGAGAAGATAAGGAAAAATGGAGAAGAGAACACCGATAACGAAAACGAAAGAACTCAAACACCTCAACAGGGGTCACTCCTACTGGGAAAAGCCAATTAAGGCAGTAGTATTTTTAAATCAGGTGGCTTTAAAATTAAGTAGTGCAAATACCTAGCAGGTGACTGACTACACTTTACAAGACAGACCGAGCCTTTCCACCAAAGCCACCAACCCATCAGACCCAGGAAGGCCCACAAGTTTCTTCCGAGATGACGGCAGGACCCAGCCTTCGCAACTCCCCCGACGCAGCTGCAGACAGTGTTCTCAGGCAACTCCAGAGAGCACGAGGTGCAGCCTGATGCCAACAGCTGACAGTGCAAACATTACAGTCAGCATTGCAAACCTTCTGTGTTGCTGCTGCAAGCTGGGATTCTGTCATTTCAACCCCCACTACTCCATGTATAAAAGACCAAACCTTTACCAGACATGTTTGTTAAGAGAGTCAGGTTAGAGTATAAAAGACAGCAAATGCAGGATAGAATCCAGTAAGTAATCCACAATCTCAGCAGGGTAACAGAAAGACAACTTGCAGATAAAGCAGGTATGTAACTGCCACCATAATACACCAAATGCATTTCCACAGCAGAACAAAACTGACAGGTTCAGAGATATCTGGAGGATTTCCTTTCAAACCATGCTCCTCTATGACACCTGGGGTGTAGTATCTCAACAAGGTATCGAAAACAAAGCAATTGGACAATTAGGAAAAAATAGACTTAAATATCATTAGCAGAACAATGATGCCAACTCAAAAGCTAGGTTAGTGCCTCCTATTTATCTATACCCAGAAATGTGAGCTTCTCAGTCTTACTAAAACCGACCTCTAGGAGGATACTGCCTTTACTGTAAAGGTTCACTAAAGCAGAATCCTCCAGTACTGGCTGGTAAGAATAATCCCTTAGTAAAGCGTAAAACTGACCATGGGATCACCGATCTTCAGCGCCAAGGAGAAAGCCGAATTTCATCAGCCTTGTAACTTGGAATCTGCCTTGATACTTGAAGAGGAAAAAGGGATATTTCTTACTACCTACAGCAGACATCTCACATAAACTAGGCTCCCAAATCCCATGCAAAAGCCTCAGCTGCCTATGCGGTCATGGCAGAAGTGGAGCATATTCACATCATCTGACCTGACATACGAATCTAAGCAAGGTGCTCTGCTCTGCAACACGACTCTACAACAGCAAACTGCATGCCTGGCCTCAACCCCCTGAGACACAGCAAGGTCTCCCAGCTTTACAGAACTAAAGACATACCTTGAACTGGAAGGAGGAACAAACAGAAAGCTGGCCCACGAAAGGGAGCACTACTCAGGGTGGTTTGCTGTGCTCAGATCAAGTTACTGCATGCTGCACAACCTGACACTTGCAGGGGATTTTCCAGGGCTGCCCGTAGAGCGCACTCCTGTAATCCAGCCTCAGGGTTACCAGTGGCACCACCTCCTAAGTCTGGTAAACTTGTACACTAACCCAGCAGAAGCCGCAAAACTTATGCAAGTTAGCAGAACAATTTCTGGACACGTGCATGCATATTTGTGTATATACAAGGAGATCAGAAGGATAACAGCAGCTCAAAACGGGCAGCGATGCTGAAAGAGAAATTTTTGTCTTCCACACCTTTCATACAGTTTTTTGTAACTATATAACTAGCCATCCACCCCTTCAACTCCACGCCAGGCATACGTACACGACTGAACTTACCTGATGCTGTGCCACAGCAAGGTGGTACCCACCAAGCTGAGGAGAAGATGCTTGTGATCACATCAGGGGGGAAGAGAGTAACGTTCCTCTGGATCTGAAGCAAGTTTAATACTAATGCAAGAAATACGCCAATAAAAAACAGCACTATGCCACGAATTACCAAATTCATGCCACGACTGGTTACAGATGAAATGTATGGGCCACACTTTTTTGGTAAGGTTGGCATTGCGTCATTTTCTGCCATGACTTCTTATGTTCTCAGAGACTTCCAACTGGCTGACTGAGGAGGGTTCACTTGCAATCAGTATTTTGACTCTCCTCAATTAGGAGATATCCAAACCCTGAAAAATAATAAAAGAGGGTGAAAAATGCAGATCTAGGAAACATTAAATACATCTCTCAAATAATTTGTAATGAGGTTAAAAATATGGCTATTACATTTTTCAGAATTTTCTGAGGAGGCAATTGGTCATTTGAGAGCAGAACCAACCACAGCTGCAAAAATGCCTTACAAAGAAAACAGGTTTTGCAAATAGCCTTGTCTACCAGGAGACAGAGGAGGAGGAAACATGTGGGATGGGGCAGCTAAGAATGTGAAACCACAAAGAACGGGTGAAGAGACGAAACCGATATCAGATGGAAGAAAGGCTTGCTTTGCATTAACAAGAAATTGTTGTTCTCCCCTCCTTTAAGCAACACCTGGAGATCATGTAATTCAGATGCAAGTAAACACAGCCCTTAGGTTGAAATCAGCCACAGAGGTTCACAGATCTCTCTTCCTGAAGAAACGCCAGAAAACATTTCTCAACCGGCAAGTGAAATGTGAGAAATATTTTTCAGGATGGAGTCAGAATTTCAGCAATCCCGCAGCGCATCCATTTTCGTAACCCCAGGTAAGAGCAAACAACTCAGCAAACCAGAGAAGTTATCTTAATTCAGAGAAATGTTTACTGAAGTAACACACTTTTGGTGAAAACCGCCATACGTTATTACAAACCGTAATTGTAATCAGGCACAACAGAACCCGAGGGGGAAGGGAAAAGGAGCTCCCGTGCACCAGGCAGCGTCCCACATGAGCAGCTCTGCCAGCACTACAGGAATGGCAGAGTTCCCATCCCAATCACTCTTTTTAAAAATACCTGTCCATCAAGAGTCTTGTTATACATGGATTCAGTGCCACATTCATGTATAACACGGATTTTGATCGACAGCTTAGCCACCTGGAACTTCAGAAAAAAAGCCCTGACATTGTTTTTAAATGTGAACTGCCAGCCGTTGGCGGCTGTTGTTAACTCTTACTCATGGCCACGCAGGTGCACAGGGAGCCAAACCAGCACACCCGTCCCCCTTCCGCCGGCTTCCGTGGATCCCGAGGAAGTCCCTGAAGAAGCAGCAGCAGTGCAGAGGACGCAGCATTCACTTTTGCTGATCGAAAGCCAAAAGGGAAATTAAATCCAGGCTGGTCAAGATACTACAGGTAACTCCGCAGCAGATGCGATGCCACGTTGTGACATCCTCCATCACTCAGAAAAAGTTCCAAGAGGCAAAACAAAAGAAAAAAAACAAAACAAAACGTCCTGATCACATGTAACTTCCTGCTGGCAGTTTGGGGAAGCAGCAGAGTCCTCTTGAGAATACAGGATCTCTTCTACACTGCCGGTTCTCTACGTTATTTGTAATCATGAACACGTCTTGCGGCGGGGGGAAAGAGGGCAACCACGGTGTCAGGCTTCTTGGGCAGCTTCCTGACTCACACCGAGCACAACACGTCTGCACCAAGGCTGGCACCGCCACTGCAACACACTTCCCTCGAGCAAAAAGGAGGTGCTCCACATTTTTTTCCCCTCCTCCAGATGGCATGGCAGTGGAGCTTGGATAATACATTTAGCCTCCGGGAAAGAAAGCACGGAGTCACAAATACATTGCTGTTCCATCTGAGAGTCTCCCCTCTCCCTGGGGGCTTGGCCCACCAGGTGATCACAGGAATTCCCAGAATTTACAGGAGTCTTTTCAACGACAGCATTGGAGCCTGCAGGTTCCAGTCACAAACTCTACTAGAATATCATAATAGGGTCTTTTAAACTTTTAGGTCCCTTCTTAGCTTTAGCTTGCCTAGGCAAACAAGCTACAGTCTTGACTCTCCACTTCCTTCACCATCCCAACAGCTGTTGGCACTACTGAAGTCTGCACATCCCTTTTCTTTTAATGCATGACCAGAGCTGATGTATACGATCCCAGGTTCGGCTCGCACAGCCTTGTACAAGAAAGTTCTCCCTTCCGTGTCTCTCTTTAAACGAGCTCTTCTGTGGCACACTGAGGATCTCAATTTCTTTTTTCACTGTCATAAAGTGGCTGCTCACATCCCGTGATCCATTACTACATTCAAGTCTCTCTTCTTCTCTGTTACTGAACTCCTTGTTCCTTGGTACCAGCCCCAGACCTTGCACGCTGAATCTCAGCCCAGAGGCTTTACTCCGATACTCTATGTTGCTCCATTTTTCCTGTAGGATATCTCAGTCCTCTTTGGCCCTGCAAATGGTTCCCAGCTTTGGGTCATCAGCAAATATCATTACTGCATCTTATTTTGTGCACCGATGTCATCAACTAAAGTACTGAGTAAGATCAGCCCAAGTCCCCATCTTTGGTGAAATCTATAAATAATTTCACCCCAACATTATTTCCCCATTTTATACTATCTCTTGATTATCTCCCTCTAATGCGACTCTGCTTCTTGTAATTTTTCAAACACAATAATCTCCAACTTAATTAAGAATCATCAACTGTCCCACATGGCAATACTGACATAAACAACCATCAGATCTTACTTTTTTTTTTTCCCAGAAATGTTGATGATCAAATAAACGTCCAAATTTATTCTGGCATAAACCACTTCCTGAATATAAAACCTGCATTTATCTGATTTCCATGTATTTAATATGTCATTCAGCAAATATATGATACCTAACTGTGAAGGCTTATCAAAACTTAACAGGACTTCGCTACACTGCACTTGCAAGTCATTCAAGGCACCAGCACCAGATTTTCACTATGAGGTGAACAGCCTGACCACAGCGAGGGCACTTGGGTTGCATGCACGGTGGTCAATGTTTATAACAAGTAATGCAAGGTCCCAAATTAGCATGAAACAGTAGCTTCTGTCCTCATTTCTCATCCTACACATATTGTTCCTATTTGTTTTACCCCAGTTTTCAAATTTTCGCCGCTCGTTGCCTTTCAGATGTTCTAGCACGCCACAGAGCAACGGGGGAACGGAACAAGGTGACCAACACTCACTTGAAGATTCTTCAGTGCCTCGGACAGCCTGGGTTCACGATGCTCAGGCACGGAAAACGTATTTACTGTTGTCACAGAATCACAGAATGTTCGGGGTTAGAAGAGACCTCTGTGGGTCATCTAGTCCAACCCCCCTGCTGAAGCAGGGTCACCGACAGCAGGCTGCACAGGACCTTGTCCAGGCAGGTCTTGAATATCTCCAGAGAAGCAGACTCCACAACCTCCCCGGGCAGCCTGTGCCAGTGCTCCGTCACCCTCAGAGTGAAGAAGTTCTTCAGACAGAACTTCCTCTGCTTCAGTTTGTGCCCGTTGCCCCTTGTCCTGTTGCTGGGCACCACTGAAAAGAGTTTGGCCCCGTCCTCCTGAGACTCACCCTTGAGATATTTATATGCATATATTAGGTCCCCTCGCAGCCTTCTCCAGGCTAAACAAGCCCAGCTCCCTCAGCCTTTCCTCATAGGACAGATGGTCCAGTCCCCTCACCATATTAAGGTCTCCAAAGAAGACAACACCTTCTTCTTCTGGACTGGGAGGCTAGCGTGCCTGCAGGCAGAGGGGACAATGTCTCTTTTTAACCCTTGTATTTTACTGGGAGTTTCCACTGAGATGGGAATAGTTCACATCTTGAGCCAACACTACTTCCGAGCCTTCATCTCTTGGGGACGCGCACTCCAAACTGCAACACGACGCAAACTCCGGGCTTGGCTCTGCCACCACGGCTCAGCTGTGCGTCCCCTCCTCGGTGGCACACGGTTTCAGCCCCAGCTTCTTACCACGCCATGCGAGGCAACTATGCACGATGCGCAGGGCGACCACGCAACGCCTGGCATTGCGCAGAAAGTTAACAAGTAAATTATCACCCTAGACGTTCTGAAAACAGTCACTTAACTGTCTCCTAATTAGAAGATCCGTCCCGCAAGCGCTCCCCAGTGCTCTTCACGCTCACCGAGAGCCTTCTGCCGCGCGCGACTCGCGACTTCCAACACGACACAGTCACCGGGAACAACGCAGCGTTGCGGGGGCCAGGGAGGAGAGGATTTATTTCAGCAACACCGCGCAGGAGATGGCAAAACCGGCCAAGTGACAAGAAGCCATCTGCCTTCTGCGAGGCAAGGCCAAAAGCAAAGGGCCCCCCGCTCCTCCGGGCACCAGGCGAGGCGGCTCTCCCGGCCGGGCTGCTCGGGATCCCCCCGGGGCGGAGGAGCCCTGGCGACCCGCGCACCCA